TGGACGGTGGTGATGGTGGTGGACGGTGGTGGTGGTGAAGAGAAGTAGAAGAAAAAAATGGAGAATATGTTAGAAGACATAGGTTAATGTCTTCTCCAAGAAGATGCTATGAAGACCTTTTTGAGTGAAATGTCTTCTAAAAAACAAACAATCTGTAGAGCTCAACATCTGCGCGCGTCTGCGCGGCGCAGACAAAAGAGGCCAGAAGCTCTTCTGGCCAAAAAACAAACACCCCCATAGTATGCCAATTAAATAATGAGGTGAGAAGGCCATGGATCGTGGGGCGGTGGTGGTGAAGAAAGAGCGAGAACTTTGTTAGACGGAAAGTGACAACATAGAGAAGGGAAAAAGAGTGATTGAGGCGTAGTACTGCGTAGTGCCGTAGTAGATGGAAGGCAAAAAAGGTTGATTTGATGGCAGTAAACAACATAAGATCTTTTAATATAAGCGGGGACTACCATTTATTTTGGGGACAAATAAAATACTTTTTTTGTAAATATTGATTACTTTAATTTTTATTTTTTTTATTAGAATGGTGATGATGATGACAATAATAATTAATAATAATAATAACAATAGTATATATGTTTAATAATAATAGCAATAATAATAGTTATTTTTATGGGGTACTACCAAGAAAATAAATTACAATTATATGGTACTACATAGATAATTATTCCTTATTAAAAACTAATTCGAGAAAATATCGTATTATAAAAGTTAATTTTGGAAATTCACTCAATTTTTTTACAACCTATGGATCATAAAACTCTAAATCAATCTTTTAGGCTATGTTTTTTTAGGTTCTAACTTTTCATTTCTAATATTTTCAAACTTTTTAAAGTTTCTTCTAACTTTTTTTGTTTGTTCCAACTCATTCTAATTTATTTTAACTCCTTCCAGTTTGTTCAAATTCTTCATACTCGTTCAAGTTTTTTCCAATTATTTATAGTTTCGCCTAACGATGGCTAACAAAACTTATTTAGGTGTCTATTTTTTGCTATAGTACTGTAATTATTATGGTTGTTGTTATTATTTCAACTTCTTCCTTTTTTTAAAAAAATTTTTTTACAATATCTACGGCTCTGTTTTTTCGATGAAAAGGAAATAACTTCTATTTTTTTAATTTCTTCAAATTTTTTCCACATTTAAAAATATATTTACAACTGCTCAAACACTTGTATAGATAAAAAAAATTTATATCCAATATTTTCCTTTCTTCCAATTGAGTTTTTTCATATGACACGAGAGGCTGATCGAGTTTTATAGTTCGCCCAAAACCCTCCGAGCTTATCGATCACATTCAATTGCAGAGCTGCTTGGATGGATTTTCAAGTTGTAGTGTTATGTGGTGGTTTCTCCAAGAATCTTGTCCCTCTTGTTTCCAAGGTTCCTGCATTTATTCCTGTTCCAGTTATTTTACATGTGATTCAAGTTTTCATTCGGATGTCTGTCATTTTTTGTGGATTAGATACCTTTATAAATCTGGGAATTTTCCAGGAAGTGCCAAAGGCGCTGCTTCCGGTGGCCAACAAGCCGGTCCTGTCTTACATTCTTGACCTTTTCGAGCAAAACAATCTCAAAGATCTAATTGTCGTATGTTTCTTACACGCCATTGGTTTTTTTATAGTGCCATTTAGCTACTCATTTGCTGAATTAATAATTTTTTTGAATTTCGCTAATGATGTGATTTGTTTATTACTTCAGGTGGTTGAGAGTCAAGATGCAGCAACTCTTGTAGGGGCTTGGATATCCAATGCCTATATTGACCGCCTTCATGTTGAGGTATACATTCTCACTATCACTTTGGGACATAACATTAAGAATGGCATATTGAGGGTTTAATATAGAAACATTAGAATCTGCTTAAGGATGATCAAATTTACTTCACATGCCCTGTCTATTACTTTGATGATTTTCTGGACAGTGACACCAAAATGTAAGGCCAAAACCAGTTTGTACTAGCACTCAAGTGACTGTGGCCTCAGTGGGTGTTCAAGAAAACATCAAAATTGTGAAATCTTACTGTATTTGCCCTACACTTTTAATCCTATATAATCAGTGGCTTAGATCTGGGTAATATATCACATGTTAGGGACATTTTTATTAATATAATACTCCATATGACTCTATTTGAAATGGCTAGGCGTAATCCCGCCTCATGGCACGCCTCAGGTATTTTCTCAGGAAGAATTGCATCATGGTGATCTAGCCATAGGCTATGGAGTTTTCACGGAAATTGCTTACTAAAGCGCTAGCCTCAGCACGTACACAATGAGGTGGCTATATGGCTTACACACATTTTTTCCCAAAAAAATTAGGATTATGGTTAAATTAGTACATTCAATTAGCAAAGTTTTAAAGTATATATGGTACCGGTCGTAACCCTAGCGCTATCTACGCCATCCTATCTTCATCCAGTCATCCAGTTTTTTTTCTGCACGAGCTTTCTCTACCAAGACCGACTACTGGGTGCATGTTCTCTCTCTCGTGTTTGAGCTGTGTGTTTTTGCTAACTGGGTGCGTTTTTTCTTATGAGCTTTCTTTGCGAAGACCGAGGGTGTGTTTGTTGTTGTGACTGAAACCTGCCCTTCTTTATTATTATAGCTAGCTAGGTGATATGTTTTGTTATTACTGCTGCTTGGCCTTGTGTTTTCTAATTTGCAACTTTTTTTGCTTATCTGCTTGGATTTTGTTGAGTTTCAGACCTTTTACTTTGACAATATACTTCTTTAATGTTTATGGATCGATTATGTTATTTATAATGTTCTACCCTCTTTTTTAATAATGTCTTATGGATATTTGGATACTTCAAACGCGAGGCCTATGCCTTGAGGCTTACACAATACGCCACAAAATAAAAACGCCTCATATACACAGTACGCCAATTTGAACATTACCATATGTATAAACTAAAAAATGTCTTGAACTGTTTGTATTACATAGTTTTTTTATTTCTTACCTAAGTTGTTTTCGTGAACTCTATAGATTGAAGAAGTATTTACTTGTACAAAATAGTCTATTTTACAATTGAAATGAGTAATTAAATCACGTGTTTTATTAAGTCATAAGTTTTATACCATCAGATCTGCCTTCAAATTTTACATATGAAAACCCAACCAAAAATGATAATTTTTTCCCAACTTTGTGGCATCATTGGCGGTTATAGTTTCACTTCTTGCAAAACTGCTAAATACCTTAAATACATGTTAGTCAAAATAATATATACTCCCTCCATCCCAAAAAACTTTTCCACTTTCAATTTTCATCCGTTCCAAAAGATACCTCCACTTTATATTAAAATCTCTCTTTTACTCTTACTAATTATTAACCTACCTATCACATCATATCTTCCCTATTAATACCCGTCACATCGTATCCTACCCTACTATAAAGTAAGCATAAAATTGGAAAATAACACCAATAATTACACACTCCTTAAATCCCATCTTTTTTCAAAGTGGAAAAGTTTTATGGGATGGAGGTAGTTTTAAAACAGCTCAAAGCCTCCCTTTCAAACTCATATGTGCTTGGATAGTTTGCATTTTTGTAACTTGTTAGTTAAGACCAATCGAAAAATTACATCTTGAAATGTAAAAGCTAATTCTTTGGAACAGTTGAATACCAATGTTGATACTCACGTGGAAAACAGAATAAAATCTTCACATTAAAAATTACTAGCTTTAATGTTTTTGTTTGGAAACAGAAGAATTCATTAATGAAAAGCCATACAACATCTACAACAAGATCACCTAACAGAAAGGATTCTAAAATGTTAGCATAAATTCTAATCTTCATATGACTAATAGTACAAATATAGTTGATGGGTTATAAACTTGTAGCAATCTGCTGGCTACTAAATGTATTCTTCTATGTCTTAGCGTCTCTCCCGAAAAACAACAAGCTATAGTATAACTTCATGGAGTAGAAACCTGTTTGATATGATAATAAGTTATACTTGAAGGGTAGATTTCCCTTGTAGACCAGTAAAATATTCCATTGTTGATTCTGTCTCCAATCAAAACAGTCAAGCCTATGCAATGAGATCCGAATTCCTTCTAAGACTTAATTTTTTCATATTCACAAATGCTCATACATGGACAAGAAGAGAAACTTGCACCAAAACCCGCACCAAGGTGAGAGAAATAATTTGCTCAAAGGCAAGTGTCCAAAATTGATTAGCTGAGGGTGACTTCATTAAAAGGATAGAAAATGTCAAAAGATTAGCTAATAAACAAAAAGAGCGCTGAAAATTGAGAAATTTGGGGCTTACCGCCTGCATTTATGGATGATAGTAGCCCCTGGGGAAGATGGCAACGGGTAGGGTATTAAGTGGTTTGTGGATATTGTTGTACACGGTATTCAAATTTTGGTTTTTGCTTGACTGCCAGTTACTAAATTAACAATTCTAATTTAACAGGTTGCGGCAGTGCCTGAGGATGTAGGAACAGCAGGAGCCCTTAGAGCAATTGATCGCCACCTGACAGCAAAAGACATCTTGGTTTGTCTTTACCTTGACATTAGTCTATATACCTGTGCGGTAGGCTATGTGTGGAATGTGGTAAATGATAGGGGAAGGAGTTAAGGAAAAAAATGCTAAGGAACATGTATACTTTCTCTGTTCCATACAAATCTTCTTTCTTTCCTTTTTCATTTGTCCTAAAAAGAACTTCACTTTCCTTTTTAAGAAAATAATGTGGCAAAGTTTTTCTCCTCTTATCAAAAAGTTTCTAACCACACACTTATTAGCATATATATACAACAACAACAACAAAGCCTTATCCCACTAGGTAGGGTCAGCTACATGGAACAAACGACGCCATTGCGTCCTATCATGTACCGTATCCACAGTGAGATCATTCACGCGAAGCTCCCCCTTGACCACTTCGTGCCAAGTCTTCTCAGGTCTACCTCTCTTCCTCTAGCCACATTTCTATTCACCATTTGATCAACCCTTCTCACCGGATGCTTTATTGGTCTTCTCTCCACATGTCCAAACCACCTAAGTCGAGTTTCCGCCATCTTTTCTACAATAGGTGTCGCTCTAACTTTAGCTTGTTCACCCTTTGTTGTCCAACACTCTGTTCCATACAATATCGTTGGTCTAATCGGAGTACGGCAAAAGTTTTCCTTTAGTTTTAAAGGTACTTTTTTGTCACATATAAAGCCCAAAGCACTCCGCCATTTTGACCAACCGGATTGAATTTTGTGGTTAACATCACCCTCTATTTCTCCATTGTCTTGAATGATACACCCAAGATATTTAAATCTCTTTACTTGTGGTATAGTATTATCTCTAACTTTCACCTTGATGTTACTATTTCTCCTTATGTTGTTAAACTTGCACTCCATATACTCTGTTTTAGTGTGACTTATACGCAAGCCATGCAACTCCAAAGCCTGTCTCCATGAATATAACTTCCCATTTAAATCCTCTTGTGATTTGCCCATAAGGATGAGCTCATCAGCAAAAGCATGCACCATTGTACGGGTTCTTAGATATGCTTGGTAAGAACTTTCAATACTAGTGTAAAAAGATATGGGCTTAGCAATGACCCTTGATGTAATTCTACACCGATGAGATATTCCTCTGTTACCCCACTTTGACTTCACGCTGTTGTTGCACTATCGTACATATCCTTAATCACACGAATATACACAATCCTTGCCTTCTTTTTTCTGCAACACCTTCCATAAGACTTCTCTTGGCACCCTGTCATATGCCTTTTCCAAATCAATAAAAACCATGTGCAAATATTTCTTCTCACTTCGGTACCTCTCTATCATTCTCCTCACCAAGTATATAGCCTTTGTAGTTGATCTGTAGTTGATCTTTCTGGCATAAAACCAAACTGGTTCTCCCTCACCAAAATCTCTTGTCTCAACCTCCGTTCAATCACTCTTTCCCACAACTTCATCTTATGACTCATGAGTTTGGTCGCTCTGTAGTTTCCACAACACTGAACATCCCCCTTATTCTTGTAAATAGGAACCAGAATGCTCTTCCTCCATTCGTTAGAAATCTTCTTAGATCTTAGAATCTCTTTAAAAAGCTTAATTAGCCACCAAATGCCTTTTCCTCCTAAACCTTTCCAAAATTTAATTGGGATGTTGTCTGGGCCCACTGCTCTGCTATTCTTCATCCATTTTTGGGTCTCCTTAACTTCAGTTTTTTGAATTCTCCGATAGTAATTAAAGTTTTGATCCTCCTCCCTTGTGTGTAGCCGATCGGAGCATAATGTAGCCAAAGATTCATTATTTTTTGGCTTTGGGATGCTGGATTAAAGCAAAATGACTTTTTAAATTGTTTTTAATAGTGAAGTGTAAATAGTTCTGTCTTTGGGGGTCTATATATATATTTTTGTCTTTGACACTATATATAGTACTCCGTAGTATAATACAAATATATAAGTAAATAAATTTTATTAAGTGAATAAAATTGATATGTTGAGTTTGAACGTAGACCCCCCCAATATTCTTTCCTTCCAAAGTTACCTTATATTTTCCTATATGTTTTCATTCCCTGGAAATCTGGGTTTAAATGGACGGAATGCTCACCCAATTCTGCCTTGTGTGTAGGTTGTAAGTGGTGATCTTGTTTCTGATATACCTCCTGGAGCTGTTGCAGCAGTTCATCGACGACATGATGCTGTTGTTACTGCAATGCTTTGTTATGCTCCAGCTGGTGGGCCTTTGGAGTCAGGTTCATCTGCAAAGAAACCTGCACGATATAATATTGTAGGATTGGACCCTACAAAACAGTTTCTTCTACACATTGCGGCTGGTGAGACTTCTCTTCTCCTTCAGATTAATTTACTATTAACTTTTTAGTAGACACTATTAAGCATGTCCATGCTATCTCAGGATTTGAAGTTGAGAAAGATATGCGCGTTCAGAAGAGCATACTCAGAGCTGTTGGACAAGTATTTTGGTCACACACACCTAATGGATTCTCATGTTATATTTTAACCATCAAAGAATTTAGTACTGACTAGAATTTGCCTAAGGCTCTCACTCTGAGAGACTCACATTCTTTTGTTGTTCATGTTTTACTACAAAACAGTACTCTTAGGTGTGGGCCTAAGTAGACAATTGGCATAACCAGGGTCCCCAAATTTCAAATTAGGGTGTGCTAGAAACATATCTAGTTCATTTATTTTGTGTTTTTATCTGTAAAAAATTATTGATAGAAAACAAGTGTTAAATCAAAGCTGGGGTATATGAGCTTCCTGCCCTCCCCAGCTATGCCATTGTGCCTAACCCACATAAGAGAACTTAACTATGACGCTAAAGAACACCATGACCATTTCTTGGAACAATGATTATAATACACCCTATTGTAGTCTTATGTAGTTGTTACTAGATCTTTTTTTTGCCTAATCTCAAATACACATATGCGTGGCAGATGGATATTCATCCCGATCTGATGGATGCTCACATGTATGCATTCAAGAGGTTTGAGGCTCTTGGTTTTTTTAATTGTTCACCATATTTTTTTCCTTAATGAATTGAGTTGTAATCTTAATTTAATATTATTAGAATGGCTCTGCAAGAAGTTCTATCTCTTAAACCAAATTTAATGAGCTTGAAGTGTGATGTCTTGCCGTATCTTGTGAGAAGTCAGCTGGTTAGTACAATATATTGCTAAGTGATTGTTTTTTGAGGGTATTTTATTAGTATAACGTTTATTAATGTAGAACTATCTGTTGATGTCATGACATTTTAGAGATCTGAATTATCCCTTAATGGAGTGTGCCCAGAAGAAAATGGGAATCATATGGATTTTTCACAGAACAGTACAGTTTTGTTGTCTCAACTTATGGCCAACGCCTCTGCCCAAAGTTTTCATGACCAATGTACATTTGATGGTTCTGATAAATCCGTTCGAGCTCTCAAGAAAACCCATAAATGCTGTGTTTATATTGCCAACAAGACCAATTACTGCATGCGTTTAAATTCCATCCAAGCATTCAGTGACATAAATCGAGATGTGAGAGATTTTGTTTGTTTCTCCCATGCTCTAACCTACAGAAGCTTTATATCATTCTTTAATAAGCAAATTATAATCTATAATTGCTCAGGTAATTGGGGATGCTAGTCACATATCTGGTTACTCCTTCTCTGCACAGAACAACATAATTCACCCTTTATCTGTCCTTGGATCAAAAACAACGGTGAGAGAGATGTGATGCAGAAGTGCATCTTATATAAATGCTTTCTTCTCAACTGATGATGATGATGATGATTATATGCAGTTTTTGTTTTTATCAATTCTCTAGGTGGGACCACATTGTATGCTGGGAGAGGGTTCAGAGATGGGTGATAAGTGCAGTGTCAAGAAGTCCATTATTGGTCGCCATTGCCGGATTGGTTCTAACGTGAAGGTAAAATATAGTACTCCCATACTGAAATAATCTCCTTGCTTTGACTTGGCATGCTTATTAGGAGGCGTGGTTGAAAGCAAAATTGGGCGGCTGATATGTATGTTGAAAACTAATATTAACAACACATTCCATTCCCAAAAATAAAACACGAAAATGACTTTGAGAATTGGGACGAACCAAAAGGAGAAGTAAATTGTTGCCGGATGGAGTATTAATGCTCTTATATGGTGTTATGGAAGATAAGAATTTATACATGTCCAATATGCCCTTCAGCCCTTGCATTATATTTTACCTTGGATGTACAACCCATCATCTTGTTACATTTTTGCCCAACCTGCAGGTAGTCAATTCTGTTGTGATGAACCATGTTACCATCGGGGACGGCTGTTCAATCCAAGGCTCCGTTTTATGCAGTAACGTCCAGCTCCAAGAACGTGTTGTACTAAGGGATTGCCAAGTAAGCCCTTCCGTGCTCTCTCTCTCACACACACACACGCACATAATAATGTGTGTACATGCGTGCACGTGTAATTGTTCTCTATTTATATCAACTTGTAAACCCTTTTTTACATGGAAATTCCACATTATACTATACTTTTTTTAGTGTTATTGACTCTATTACAATGTAATATTTGTTCATAACATTCTCTATTGTACTTTGTTTTGCACACAAAGGTTGGGGCAGGTTTTGTGGTAGCCACTGGCAGCGAATACAAAGGGGAATCATTGGCAAAGAAGGAGAAACAATGACACACCCGTTTTCATTGGTTCGTCGTGATAGATAATCAACTACTGCTTTTCAATCATCATCGTCTAACACTTCAAATTCTACGGAATTGCACTTCTTTGAATAGGTTACCTCTTGGTGTATTTTTAGTGAAAAAGATTAGGAAGAGAAAGTCATTGTGCGTCTGATTTTTTTAGAATCCATATCGTGTTAGACGATGTTTTGAAATGGTTTGTTCTTTTAGGACGGGTGTCATGTGAGAATAAGGACAGGAATTTGAAAATGCACCAACCATTTCTTCATGTTTTTTTTTGGGTTCAGTTTTCTGTGTGATACATAAAATAAGCCAGTGTATAGAGGGTTAATTTTGAGGGCAACGAAATATATATATGGCGTCTTTTTATATAAACAGTAATTACGGTTAACCCAGCAAGGTTGGGGTCTGGAGGGTCAACTTGCAAGAAAAACAATTACATTCATAAAGTTTTCTTCAAATAATATACTCCCTAGTAAGATATTTTAATTATTTGTTAAAATAATACAAGCATGTCACTATGTTTATAATGTTTTTAATGTTGCTTTAAAATATAGGCAAAACCTATACGGTGCCCTAAGAGCAGTGGAAATGCTAATCACACACACGGGTGTTAACATGGTTTTAACGCGTTCTCTACTGTCATCTAGGCATTAAATGTTTTGAGCCAAAGTTTAACGCAGCAAGGCTGCAAATTTGGCCTATTGCCCCCCTCCCTCAACGGTTCAAATTAAAACAGTTGTAATTTTAATAAAATTTGTAAAATTTTTAACTATAAATACCTATTATTTTTCAAAAAAATTTACACAATATAATCTCATTCTCTCTATAATTCTTCTAAAATGAATTCTATTTCTTTTAATTCTCTCCACAAATTACTCAAAAAAAAAAGATGATCTTCATTTGATGATGAAAGAATACTTCTTATTCTTCGTAATGTATTGACATTTTTAGTTTTTTATTTATGTTGTTATTATTCAAATCTTATTTGATTAATGTAATTTTTCAAAGATGTACTAATCTTTTAATGTACGGAGTTATTTTTTATTTAATGAATTATTGTCGTTTAAATTTAATTAATTAATAATTTCTTATAAATTTAATTTTATAAAATGAGTATTCAAAATGTAAAAAATAAAGGTTTGAAGTTCCAGTTTGAAGCTCCGGGGCTTCAAACTTATTTCCTGTGGAACTGAGAGATAAGTTGCTGACGTGATAGAGAGAAATTTTGAAGTCCAATTTGAAGTCCCGGGGCTTCACAAGTATTTCTAGTGCTCTAAGGGCAACATATAAAGAGTATTTAATGTCAATAACTAATATATAAGATGTATTACTCGTATATCTTATTATACTCCCTCCGTCCGAAAATAATCTTCCCGTTTCTCCTTTTTCTCCGTCCGAAAATAATCTTCCCATTTCTATTTTTCATACACAAACTACCCAAAATACCCCCACTCATTCTCTCTCCTCCCTCATTTCTTGGCCTTGTCTCTGCTCTTCTATTTCTCACTTTCCCTTCTTCTTCTTCTCCCCCCCCCCCATATTCTTTCACGCCTCTTTTTTTTTCTCTCAAGATCTGCTCCTCCTCCTCTGTCTCCTTCCTTCCCTCATATTCTTTCTCCAGATCCGCTTGTCCTCCTCCAGCCCCTTCTCCTGTCTCCTGTTTATTTGTCTTCCAGATTTGCCAGGTTTGGACAGATATGTTCTTGATATGGCAATGGCGGCAGCGGTTGGGTAGGACTAGCGATGGCGGTGACTGATGCAATGGTATGAGTTGCGGTGATGGTGCTCGGGGTGGGCAAAGATGGTGAGTTGTACTCAGTTTTTGTAGATCTAATTGGCGCGGACCACAATTGTGGTGGGGACTAAGGCATTGGTGGGGCTGTCGGGCGGTGGTGGTGGGTAGGGGTGAGCGTGGTACGGTATTTGGTTCGTACCGATACCGTACCAAATATTTCGGTTTGGTATGGGGTTTCACACGGTACCAACCCCGATCCCGAAGTATCGATTCGGTATGGTTTGGGATGGTTTGGTTTCGGTTTCGGTAAATATTGGGTTGAATTTATATACGTACTTAGTTTACACTTTGAAATCTACAAAACCTTTTATTTTAAAAAAATTGAATGTACATTCAAATGAAGAAAGATGAACAATTGAAAATTCAATAATTATATGCAAGAAGTACTTAAATAATGTAGTTTAATTTATCTTTCGTATTTAACAAAAAAATCGAACGAATAATAACAAAATAGTATTTCAATAATGTCTGTTAGTTTTTAATATTCGTTTACAAAAAATTAAAATTCAAATCAATGATTATTTAGATAAAAGATTATTTGTAATTCATCTATACTTGAACCGACTTTTCAAATCATTTTTTAATGAAGAATAATAAAAATATTGTTATTTTTATAACATATTTGTATATATGTTTGTTTCAGGATTTTTCGGTATGGGAAGTTACCTCATACCGATCTCAAATACCGGACCGACTATTCAGTTCGGTATGGTACGATTCTTTTTCGGTATATTATCGGTTCGGTATTTATCGGTTCGGTAATCTCGGTTTTTTCGGGAAATTTCGATTTCGGTTCGGTACTTGCTCACCCCTAGTGGTGGGGACCGGAGATGGCGGAGGGGGTTGGCGATGGTGGGGGTGGCGTTAAAGGGGGGCCGGCGGCGGTGGCGGTAAAGAGGGGCCTGCGGCGGTGGCGAGATTGGACGGAGATTGTGGAAGCAAATGGCAGAAGGTTGGTGAGGGCAGTGGTAATAGTGGCTAAAGAAAAGGGCAGTTTGGACATTTTCATCCCATTATCAACTCTCTATAAAAATGGAAAAAAGTCAAAATAGGTAGATTAATATCGAACGGAGGGAGTATCTTATTTTGTATAATTTTCTCGTAATTTCTAATATATTAATTTTATTGATTATTCGTATATCAATTTTTAAATAAAATAATTTTAGAAAATGGGGAACTTCACCTCAAAAATGGAAAAATATAATTCAATTTGGGATGGGAGCATATAAGTTCTTTATAGCTAAAAAAGAATTTTAAATTTAATTTTTGTTTGCTCATAATGTAGTGACTTATGGTATTCTACTTAAGAGGGTCTTTGGGAGTGTGGTGACTTATGTAAAAGTAGAAGTCATAATTTAGAAGCAGAAAGCATATATTTTTAGCTTTGCTAGAAAGCACTTCTAGACCTTAATTTTAACTTCTAAAGCCATAATTTATAAGCTAAAGCAGATTAGCAAACATTTAAAATTATGTTTTAGTAAAATAGAAGTTATTTTCAAATGCAATCCCAAACACCCACTACTACTACTAGTACTCCATGGTATTTACGAAGTACGCGCCTTGAATGCCAAAATGGTTGTTGGAACCCCTCCCCCCCCCCCATTTGTTATAATGTCCTTACACATAAAAAAAATCTTTTTCTCCCTCTTTTTTTCTCTTTCCTTCTCTATAAAGTCAATTAATTTTTTTTAAAATTCAACACAAATACAAATCTCTATCTATCTATCATCTTTCCTTAAAAAAATTATTATCCAAGTATTTTATTTATTTTTATCATGAATCTCTCCGGTTTCTCTCCGCCCAGTCTCAAGGCAAACGAGTATGCGATGTGGCTCTTTCGGACGTACGGGAATAATCCGTCGTTGTTCAAAACGCAAATCTCGGTGAATCTCGAGGACCCGGAGTTGCACCAACCAGATCCAAAAAAACTGCACGCCCTCTATTCCACACGTATGTATTATGAGAGAAAAACAAAACGAGATCAAAACTAAATATAACGTGCTTTAGTTTTTTAATTAATGTAATTTTTTAATTTATGTTTTTATTGAATGTAATTTTTTAATTAAATGTTCTTTTTTATTGAATGTAATTTTTCTATTTTATGAATTATTGTCATTTAAATTAAATTAATTAATTATGTTTTATTCATTAATTTGAAAAAATGTGTATTAAAAAATTTAAACAGAAAGGCTTGAAGCCCTAGTTTGAAGCCCCGGGATTTCGAACCTATATCCAGTGAATCTGCGAGATAAGTTAAAGCTGACGTGGCAGAGAGAGAAAGTTTGAAGCCCCGGGGTTTCACGGGTATTTCCAGTGCTCTAAGGAGGGGTGATCTCAATTGAGAAAAAGACTAAAGTAGGAGTAAAACATTGATAATATATCAAAATAAGACTTCCATGTTTTTATTCCTAAAATAGGAGCTAAAATGTACTCCCTCCGTCCACAAATAAACTTTACATTACGCGTTACGATGTTTGAATGAAGTTATTTTCAAATCATTTTATACAAAAAATGGTGTAGAATTGAAAAATAAAAATTACATATTAAAAAACTATATCAAAAGATCTACAAAACTAGAGGTGACATGACTATATTATTTTATCAAATGAGTGACGAAAATAGGCCAACAAAGTGAATAAAGTTTGACCCTGTGAATAGTGAACGTAAAGTTTATTTGTGGACGGAGGGAGTATTTATATTACCAAACGTGGTCGTGTATATTACCAAAAGGTATACTAATATGCACGTGTACAGTGCCACATTACTTTCACATTACCACAGTGCGAACACCTATTTCGAAAATAAAAACATGAAGGTCCTATTTTGATACTTTTTTTCTATATTTTAGTCTTATTTAGAGAGATTTCTAATCTTATTTTGTATTAATTAATCACGATCCTTATTCGTTGTCCTCGGCGCACCATATATATGCTTTCTAAACAATACCATGCATAAATTTTGTTTAAAATTAAGGGGAGTATCCAATCTAAGTTTTAAAAGATTATGATAAATTGTTTAAAAATCACAAATTTTGTAAAATCAATGAATTATTTTAAGTCTATGCAGAATTAGATTGATTTTAATGTATTTTATCAGCATGATTTTATAGAATTATAGAAAATTATTTTTAACCATGAAGATTATGTTTTCCTTTTTTTCTTTTTTTCTGTTTTTCTTTCTCTTCTTTTTTTCCTTTTTCCTCCCTGGAACCGAGCCGCTGTTCTTCGGGCCACGCGGCTTTCTTTCCTCTCCCCATTATTTTCTTTTTTTGCTTTTTTCGTTTTCTTTTCTTTTTTTCCTTTTTCGCGCTGTTCTTTTTTTCCTTTTTCCTCCTTGGCCATCTCTTACTCTTCAAGCTCTGGCAGAGAGAAGAGGGCATCTTCGGTTGCAAAATCGTTGCAAAAGAGGTCCAGATCGACATCCTCCGCCACAAGACCTTCCAGATCTACTGTTCCCTGCAAAAGAGGTCCGGATCCAAATCTACTATCCGGATCGACATCCTCCGCCGCCTCGATCAATTTCTTTCGCGGCATTGTTCACGGCATATGGGGCAAATCGTCTGGAGTCGATGAAGGAGTTGTCAAAATCCCTACTTTTGGCGTGAGATTTGGGAGTGGATTTCTATTTTTATCCAAGGGCTAAAAATCCATCAAAATCCACATATTTTAAAATATTTAAAAATCTATCAATTTTTGAATACCATTAGATTTCGAAAGATTTTTTTAAAATATGAATTGAACACATCTAGCTTTTAAATGACTTTTAAAAATCTAAATTGAATACCCAGACATTTAACATCCAAAAAAATACTACAGAATCCAGATTGAATACAGTCTCTAAATTGAACATAATTTTGGTCAGATATCGTAAATTGTAATATGGAGATAATAACGAAAGGTAAGAAATGGATTGGGTAACCAATAGCATACAGCAATATATAAATGTGTCACAAACACATACACGAAAGACATGATTAGGAGTTCTAAACAAACAAACATTACTCTTCCCTCAGATCAAAGTATATGTATTTATAAATAAATAAATGAAAAAAGAAAAGAGGGGGAAATAAATTGAAGAGAAAAAAAAAAAGAAGAATTGTGGGATGAATTAAAGAAAAGAAGCAAAGAAAACAAAAGCAGCAAGGAAAAGGGAGTGGTGAAAGCCGAAGGGCCCTCTGGGAGCAGCAGCAGCACTGCCACCCTTCCCAACTGATGGGCTTGATGCCAACCCACCATCACCAACTGATGTGGGACTTGTTGCACCTGCATTATTTTTTTTCGCAATTTTTCAACTTCTTTTTTTAATACAAATGATAGACCACAATTATTGCAATAAAAAAAATACTGTTTTTAATTTGTAACTTCAATTCATACAATCAAGTTTTTTTCGAAATTTTTGTTTGTTGGTTGCACTGAGGCCCCATTTAGGTGTTTTTTTTTTGGAGCAAAAAGAGTCATTATTGATAATGTTTACGTTTGGGCATATACGACTACACCAAAATGACACATTAAACCTCGTTTTCCTCTTACGAGTACTTTAATTTCCATTTCCTTAGGTTCCAATATATTCATCTAGTTAGGTTCCAATATATTCATCTAGTTTAACTTTTGCTGTTAAACTGGATTGATTATCAATTCAATAAAAACAGCATTTGCATATTAGTAGAAAATGATTTCAATGTCATATTTTTTCAATAGTCTCCTATAAGATCTGCTTATAAAAAAACTCAAAATTTCATTTATTTATTTAAAACAAGAAAACAAGCAATTTTTCTTGAGGAAAGGTGAAACAATAATACCGAGTAATATTTTGAGCGATTAATAAATAAATACTCCATGCATCTCAAAGTGTTTTACACTTTTACCATTTAAGTGTTGTGATAACTTTTTGTCCAGAAAATTACTAGCTCGCGAGTAAATTACTAGCTCGCGAGTGACGCGAGTTTTGTCGAAATAACTTTCAGGTCCCTCTATTTTCAAAAAGACAACTGAGGTCCTTATATTTTGTTGTAATGACTGGGAGGGAACATTTTATCCAATACATCATCCGTAAGTGTTAATAAATGTATTTCTTTCCTATTTTTCCAATACTTTTTTTTCCTATTTTGCCATTACCTTGTTTTTTCTTTTTATAAAATTTTTTTATTTCATTTGTTTTAATATAATACAAACAATTATGAATTTTTATACGATTTTATAGAAGAAATTCTAAAATAACACTTTAAAAAATAGTAACAAAATGAAAGAAAAACAAAGAAATAAAAAAAGGAGCGACCTAAGATTTATTTCCTTAAAACATTTAGAAAAGAATAGGAAAAAAATACATTTTTTAACATTTATAGATGAAATATTGGATGAAATGTCCCCTTCCAGTCATTACAACAAAATGTAAGGACCTCTGCTGTCTTCTTGAAAATAGAGGGACCTGAGAGTTATTTCAACAAAACTCGCGTCACCCGTGAGTAATTTTCTGAACTTTTGTCTGTCCGTGTGTTTTCATTGGTCATTTAATAAAATAAAAATATTTTTTGCATATTATTTTGTAAAAGTTTTGGTGTAATTTTTAATTATGTAATTTGTACTTTTTATTTGAACACTTTGGTTCGTTTTTTGAAGAGCGTAAAAGAATTTGGGGGAGAGGAAGGATGAATGCTATATAATTACCAGGCTGTGGTT